AGATTAAGTTTAATACTGAAAGATTAGAAAAGTTGTATCCAAATAATGTGGCCAAGATTGCTCTAGTTATCCGATGGTCCTCGTATTTTTCTTTTCTCTCTCCCTCTCTAGTTTTGTCTTCTTATATGAGATTGTACCTCTAGTTTTGAGATATATAGATATATATATATATATATATATATATATATGTATAGTACTCCGAACATACCTGCTACATGGTGACCCTTTTATAACTTGGCAAAATATTAACTCTTCCTTCGAAGTTGATAATGTCAAGTATACCATTTTTTAAAATGTTTTTTAAAATGACCAAATATCATGGCGTTGTCGAATGTAATCCACAATGCAAGTGCGTTTTATGAATATTATATTCCGCTTGTTCAGTTCGTATTAGATATTCTAAGATAAAATCCTGCAAGCGTTGAAATTGTGTAATTATACATTTGTCAAGAACCATCGATACATTCTTACACGTTGCAATTACTCTTGGAGGAATAACTGTGATCAATTGTTTAGTTGCTGGCCATGGTATCCTTTATCCAATCGTTAAATTATGACACATCAGAGTAGACCCCGTAGGCATTTGCATCGGCACAGCCGGAACCCCAGCTGACGACTCCTACAAGAGTCCATTCATATGAGTTAAATCCAGCTTTAGTCTTCACCACCAATGGTCCGCCGCTATCACCCTGTACAGCAATGAGAATGAGATTAAAAGAAAGGTTCAATTTTGGGGTGGTTGTGGGGCATGGTGGGGATCGATGCATTTATCTTTTTCAATGTGGTATTGATGTTCGTAGTATCCAAATATAATCACATCCTTCAGCCCCTCCACATTTACTTAAGCTAAATAAATTTCTTCCCAATTTATCGTCCCCGCCTAGTGCTTTCTTTCAGTCTATCTTCCTTTTTAAAAAATGAATATTTTATTTTGTATCTTGTTATTTGATTTGATTTGATTTGATTTTGATTTGATTTATTTATTTTCCACTCAAATATCCACAAATTAAATGACATATATAAACCATACAGTAATACAATATATAATAGAACAAATGAATTATACAAGTAACGAAAAACTGACAAGTATGTTCGTAATCAAGTATTGTGGTCAGTTTGATCTGTCTCCAGAAATGTTCTGTTGACTCCAATCAGAGTTAGAATCCAAATTCGGCATTATAACACCCTTCTTTGGCAAGACGTATGGGTATGTGTATGTGTGTGTGTGTGCGTGTGTGTGTGTGTATTTCATATATAATATTTGTTTAGTTTTGTTTATTATAAGTGAATAATATGTACAATTTATTTATTACATATGTTTATGTACTATAAGTTTACTTTCAATTTTTGCTAAGTTATATATACTGCATATGAGTTTTTGTTTAATTATGTTTATGTTTAAGCAATCAATATTGAAAATATTTGTTTATTTTATTCAATTGTATGTTTGTATTACACTATTGGAGGAAAAAAAAAAATAGAAAAAAAATTAAAAAAAAGTATTTCATGCTGACAATCTCAGACTGTAGTTTATCTTTCGATTACACTTTGATTAATCGGAAGAAAAGGCCAACCCAGTAAATTTTAATGTCAGTAACGAATTCAGCACTAGATGAAGCCAGCGCACGCCCCTCCCTTGTTTTGTACTTAATGGGCGGAAATGAAACGAGCGTTTCAAAAGAGGAGAGCTCTTATTTCTGAAACAAAACAGTCGTAACTTGTTCCATAAATTGTCTTATTACCTCCGTCTCTGGAATTGGTCCCTGAACTTTTGCACAATCAAATGTAATGGCTTTCCAGTAAATGGAACAATTCAATTAAGTGAAAACGGTTAAAGTGAATATAAATATTTTTATGGGAACAAGCTACACAAAACTGCTTAGTAAAACCTTTTTATTTTATATTTTTTAAAGAAAAAAAGAAATCACGATTATGGTGGCGTCTCAAACACACACTCGCACACGCCCACACAACCCCACACATACACCCTCTCTCTTAGAGTTTGTCGATTAATTATATTAGTGCTTCACTCGGTATTCTTAATCTTTGAAGTCAGGATGCGTCTCTTCAGTGTACGTATTTTCATGAGGAAGCCTTTATTGTATACAAAATTGGATTTTATAAATTCGGAAATTTCCGGCGATGCGGTGGTCACAACCCGCCGTACTTGCAAATGCGTGCTTTCTACGTGCAAAAACGTGGGCAAAATTTGGGTATCCGTGCGTGATGAGTATCGCATCCGTACGGATTTGGGAGCACGCTGACACACCGTAGCACTTTTAGTGCACGAGGAACTTTCGCTGCGTTCGGGCTGCGTTCGGGCTACCGACTCACCCCCAGTGCGTGTGGCGTGCGTGCCCGGTACTGCCAACGAGCGCACAACGCACTGACTCCGTGCGTCTTTTAAATTTGTTTCCCACGGTCACTTGCTCTACGGAAGGCGCATTTAGCACGTGCGTGCTGCGCACGTGATAAGTGCGTGGTCCGTGCTTACTCGCCACTTCCCCAGTTCAACTGTCCAATGAGCCCGCAGAACTCAAGTGGAATGTACCGAATAAGCACGTGCTCCGCACTTACAACGCACATTGTGCGTACTGATTTAATGCAGTATGTCGTATCTGCGGTGGAATGGGCGGCATCTTGAGGCAGCAGCAGCTGGGACTTCTGGAGAACATCGGAATGTCGTCCTATATATACCCCGACATCGGGTGGAAAAACTCACCGAGTTCATCGCACGTGCACGCACTTACAACATGCGAGTGAGTAAGGACACCGTACGTGAGCAGTACGTGTAAGTACAGCCTCGGTACGATAACGTGGCAACCGAACGAAGACCGTACGTTGTAAGCACGGACAACGCACTTACCACGTGCGCAACGTACGATGCACGCAACCGGTCACGGCCAGGCGTGGCGTGCGGGCCACGTACTAACACCGTGCGTGTGACGTGCGTTGCCGGTACTCCCTCCCTGCCTTTGCCACTCCCTCCGTACGTTTTCAGAAAAAACGTGGCGGCCGTGGCCTCCCCAAAAACCGTACGGACTAAAAACACACACGGTGGGTTGTGACCAACGTTTTAGTGATCTGGCGACAGTTAATCCGGAATTTGATGCGTCCGAGATATAGGGCTAGGGTTAGGGTTGCAACTGGGTTAAAGGTTAGGATAGGGTTAGGGTTAGATTATTAGATATTACTGTAAGTCAAGGGTTGAGGTTAGGAATTCGGTCAATGTAGGATATTGACTGTGAAACAATATTGTCATCGGAACAGTTTTCTAACAACCGATATTTGGGGCACAATGTTATTTCAAGGAGATAACAGGGAGGTTTTCTCGTTTTAATCAATACATTTACATATTAGCGTCTTTTTGTATTGAATTCAATGTTTGACAGAAAAATTCGTTTCATGAATATAACCTTTAAAGATTCATGATCATTGATTAAATATTTCAGCATCTATTTATCTATTTTTCCTGTCTTTAACACACGACTCCACATGTATACGGTTTCTCTATACCCTGCCTCTCTCCGAAAGTCTAGATTTTAAACTATAGATTGGGATATATACAGGAAAAAAGTAAAATACATGATTATAGATTACAATCTCAATAAATAAAAAATAATAATTGTAAGTTTATGATGACAATAATGACTTGCTTCTGTGGCAATGTATTGTTTGGTTCGGAATATTATCTCGTCCTATTGAAATGTTAAGTTCTTGTTCAATCTGTTTTCTAGATCAGAATCTACTACCCAATCGTGCTTACTGTGATAATTGGAACAGGTCTACCAGGTAGGTTTATAGCATCTTTATTTATTTCTCAGTACTTTGATTTACTTTTTATTATCGATCGGTCTTTACCTCTGCTGTTATAATATTCGGAATCCCTTAATTTATAACCTTTTGAGTTGAAAAATGTTGCCAAAAGAATTGCCGGAAATATCTTTAAACAAGCAAAAAGACCTATGTGTGTGTGTGTGTGTGTGTGTGTGGAGAGGGGGGGGTCACACTTGACCTCCTTTTTGCGAGATCTTTTAAATTAACAATCAAACAAAATGCTAAAGATTATCTTTCAGGATAATAGAATAACTCGTTATTGTTCGATTACGGAGTACCAATAGTCTCGTAACCATTGTTGAGCAACAAAATATGCTTTATAATTTCAGATTCCCCCCCCCCCCTTTTTTTAAATAGATTTATATACATGTTAACAGTTTTAGGTAGTATAATTGCCATTAATATTCACTGTGCACGTTTGAAATCAAAGTCAAGAGGCGGATGCAAGATTCTTTAAACAGAGTAGGTGAGCATTTGTCTCTAAAATCGCCAAGAAAAGAAAAGAAAAATCGGTATTTTACTCATTTCACCATAGTTTGTTCTTCGCAAGTTCTTACTGCGGTACCCCCCTTTCTCCCCACCCCCTCTCTCTCTCTCTCTCTCTCCACAGGTGTACATGCCCAGTCATGTCACAAAAGACTTGATGATGCGTCAACGAGATTCTTTCGACTCCGATGTCGAAGAGGTCTTCTTAGCAATAACTCGATGATCGCATCTGAGCGCGACCTAGCACCGTGGATTCCAAAAGGGTGCGGAATAAGAAACAGAAGACAGCACGAAATTTGCAGCGTTCTCGGTAAATACAGAACCAAATATGTCGGATAAATCAACAGATTTACCCATTTAAAAGCTCGATGTATTACAATCAATTTACTTGAAATTAAATATTGATTAAAGAGAAGTACTTCTTCCAGTGCCGGATTCACAATTTCCTGTCCGGGGGATAGTGGTGCACTTCTCAGAAAACATTTTTAAAAAAAAGAGTTTTGATCACATGTTACTAATACCGTCTTCACAATAAAACAAATCTAATCCAGGTGTCATTGGGGCATAAAATGTCTGTCGGGGAACCATTAAGGGGAGTATTTCTTGCTTTGCCCTCATTTTGCCAATATCTTTCCTGTCATTTCATTTTTTTTAAAATAACGATTTCTTTTCTTCAGCGACGGAGAAACCGCAATCATATGAAACTCAACCATCTACAGTGCCCCCAACAGCATCAACGCCACCTTTAGATGACAGAGACTGCCAAGGTTCTCTTGCTCGGAGCGGTAACATCACAGGTAATCAAAGTCATGTGTTTTATGGGCATGTCAAAGGCGTGTCCAGGTATGGACCTCGGGAGGGACGAGCAAGGAAACAATGGAGGGGCGGATATCACCCCGACCCCATTTTTTTTTTTTTGGGGGGGGGGAGAAAAAAAAGGGGGGAGGGAACTGGTTGATTGGAAGTTTTAAATACTAAGACAATTATGGCTAATGTACGGGAAATCTGTCACGATGGACATCACCCCCCCCCCCCTTGCCACTCTTTCAAATAGTGAACGTTTTGGTGATTTATACGTTTCCACGTATTGTGTCTTTATTATGGCATAATAAGTATGATATAATTCCCTTAACGCTTTACATTATGAACTTGGAGGACATAAACATAATACAGAACAAATGCTTTGTTTCTTCTTTGTAGAGCATTAATATACCAGTGATTGATTGATTGAGCGAATGGGTGATATTCTCGATTCATTATCATGCCATTTCTTTAGGTGATATTCATCTCCGGACTACGCAATGTAATATTATTGGAAAGCGGTACCCTTTCGAAAAATTGCCACCTGTCCCAGCTGATAAATCTATGAATTTGAGTATTCGGTTTTCTACTCGGTCGGTAGGCACTATCTTGATCGCGCTGGCAGAACGATCTACATACCACACGTTTCGCAGAGCAGATGAACCACTCTACGGCATATGTAAGATGATTAAAATGTATCATTATTTAATTATAAATCATACAAAATGAATGATACTAATACCCCCTTCACATACACGGATTTTCTTACGATTCCTAAAGCAGGGCTCCCACTTAGCCGAGTTGTATTAGCGAGTTATGGCGAGTTGTGGTGAGTTGCCTCAAAGAGGCACTCGCAATAACTCGCGAACAATTCGGTATGGCTTAGCGTAACTCTTTACAACATTCCACGACTCTCCTCGAAGTCGCGAGCAGTTCCACAATTTTGGACATGTTCAAAAAATTTCCCCGATTCGTTGTAATTCGAGGTGAACTCGCCTACACTCGTAATATACTCGCATTATTCGTAACAAGCTCGCGCTACACTCTTCATAAGGTGGCTAGTTGCTACGAGTTATGAAGAGTGCAGCGCGAGCTTGTTACGGGTAATGCGAGTATATTACGAGTGTAGGCGAGTTCACCTCGAATTACAACGAATCGGGTAATTTTTTGGAACATGTTCACAATTTTGGAGCTGCTCGCGACTTTGGGGAGAGTCGTGGAATGTTGTAAGGAGTTACGCTAAGCCATACGGAATTGTTCGCGAGTTATTGCGAGTGCCTCTTTGAGGCAACTCGCCATAACTCGCTAATACAACTCGGCTAATACCCCCTTCACATACACGGATTTTCCTTACGAGTCCTTACGGATCGCACAAATTCACGGATCTTTCACGGATCCTTACGATTTGGCCACTTTTACGACCGATTTAAGAGTTAATTGTTACGAGTTATTACGAGCTATTTACGATTTGTTAGGGATTATAACGAGTTATTACGATATACTTTCGGCAGAATTCCACGATTTGTTACGAGTTGTCACGGATAACTACGAGCAACTTACGTGTTAGTAACGACCAGTTAACGTGTTGTTACGAATAGTTAGGAGTTAGTTACGAGTATTTACGAGCCCTTAGGATTTTTAACCAAAAAAATAACAACTGAAAATGAAGTGTTCAAATTTGCAGCTTTTATACCTTTCCCCAAAAACGTAAACGATACGTAAGAATACTTAAAGTATACGTATCTATTTGTAAAGTACTCGTAACTACAGGTAAAGTGCTCGCAAAAACTCGTAACAATCCGTAAAGCCATTGTAACACGACCCGAATGAAATCGTAAACAACACGTAAGCACTCGTTGTGGCTGCAGCGAGGTCGATCTCAAATAAATAGTCTAAACAAAGGCTTCTACGGGAATTGTAGCTTTAATTGGAGTTTCATTTTCGTTCCAGTAAATTCCGTGAAAACTGTGGATAAATCACAGATAAAGAATAATAAATATAAGTACATCATAGCATCATCAATATAGCAATAAACACAGTATATTTGAAATAATGTACATTGTGTCATGATCTTTATAACTCATTAAAATAACCCCAGTCACTATTCTAGTCCATCTGTATTAAATGGCTTTACATAAATACAAATCACTACAAGTGTCTCAACTAGACTTCACTATATCTTGAATAAACGATGAACTAAACAATTATACATTCTGAATCTCTACTTAGTGCTTCAGCACTCTCATAATATATCATCAAATTATTTAACAATATCTTCACTATCATCATTGTTCTTCATATCAAATCAAATGTACATATTAAACCAGCATGGGCTTGCATGTCTTACACTACGTACTAACATCAACATATCTCAGTATGAAGTACAAAATACACACACTAATTTACACTTTATGTTTCAACAATTCATAGAAATAGATTCAATATACAACAAAACTAACCTCTTTGCCTGACATAATGACAATCTTAAGACTGAAATCCCCATGATGCGCTGACAAAAAGGGGATCCTTAGACCTCAACACAACCATGTTCTTGTAGCCTTCTGAGTGTTTGATATCAAGTGGTTATCAATAGATGGCGCTATACTAGGCACCTTGCCTGAGGAAGTGCTATTACAAATATATGTGTCTTCATGTCATGCATCAACAGTACAAGAAACAAATGACTTGGGTGATAACTTAATTAAGTGCAACTGTCACAACACTCGTAATAATCCGTAAATAATCCGTAAGTAATCCGTAAATAATCCGTAAACAAATCGTAAACCAACCGAAACAAATCGTTAAAGAAATCTTTACGAGTCATTTACGGATTCTTGCGAGCAGTTTGCGGATGGTAACGTGTTGATGCGAGCGGTTTACGATACTTACGGATTGTTACGACCTATTTACGAGTTATTTACGGACAAATAAATCCGTGGACAATCATAAGAAGATTTTTGACATGTCAAAAAAATTGCCTCTCCTTTCACGGATCCTTACGAGTGTCTGCGAGTTGTTGCTAGTTGTGACGAGCTATTTACGGATACAAGCGAGTTATTTACAGATGCTTGCGATTGACTACGAGTTGGCGATCCGTAAGGACTCGTAAGGAAAACCCGTGTATGTGAAGGGGGTATAAGTGGGAGCCCTGCTTTACGGATCGCACAAATTCACGGATCTTTCATGGATCCTTACGATTTGGTCACTTTTACGACCGACTTAAGAGTTGTTACGAGTTATTACGAGCTATTTACGGTTTGTTACGGATTATTACGAGTTATTACGATATACTTCGTTACGGGTTGTCACGGATAACTACGAGCAACTTACGTGTTACTAACGACCTGTTAACGTGTTGTTACGAATAGTTACGAGTTAGTTACGAGTATTTACGAGTCTTTACGATTTTTAACCAAATACAATTGAAAATGAAGTGTTCAAATTTGCAGCTTTTATACCTTTCCCCAAAAACGTAAACGATACGTAAGAATATTTAAAGTATACGTATCTATTTGTAAAGTACTCGCAACTACACGTAAAGTGCTCGCAATAACTCGTAACAATCCGTAAAGCCATTGTAACACGACCTCAATGAAATCGTAAACAACACGTAAGCACTCGAAATAATCCGTAAGTAATCCGTAAATAATCCGTAAACAAATCGTAAACCAACCGAAACAAATTAAAGAAATCTTTACGAGTCATTTACGGATTCTTGCGAGCAGTTTACGGGTGGTTACGTGTTGTTGCGAGCGGTTTACGATAATTACGGATTGTTACGACCTATTTACGAGTTATTTACGGACAAATAAATCCGTGGACAATCGTAAGAAGATTTTTGAAATGTCAAAAAATTTTACTCTCCTTTCACGGATACTGTTGCGAGTTGTGACGAGCTATGTAAGGATACCAGCGAGTTATTTACGGATGCTTGCGATTGACTACGAGTTGGCGATCCGTAAGGACTTGTAAGGAAATCCGTGTATGTGAAGGGGGTATTTAAACACAAAGGGTTAACCCCCCCCCCCCCCTCTGTTTATACATATCTGGATACACCGATATTTGTTTAATGCTTCAAGAGCACGCATTCATTTGATCTCTTTTGTTTTGTTGTCGTAGATATAGGAGGACGTGCTCATCATGTCATTTGTCGGTGTAAGTCTGGATGTGTGGTACGTCAGAAACACAACCCATCTTATGGACTGAGTAGCAACAGAACGCTGTCAATCCTCGTCACGTACGAGCGGGGAGCCCTCAAGGTGTTCGACGATAACGACCGAACCCCGTTCATGACATACACCGATCCTCACCCGCTCTCCATTCGTCATGTTGCAATTTGTAAACGCGCTACAGAGGGAAAGTTTGTTATTCATATCTGTGATTCGTATTAACTCACGTACAGTGAATCCGATCGCAAAGGCTTTCGAAGAAAATCAACCCAAGGCAAATTCAATATCCTTGGCAATCACCTATTGAAATGTGCGAATATTACAAAGATTTGCTTTCCTTCTCATCCTCTTTCGAGGTATTTATTGGCACTAACTTTTTTTTTAAACAATCATAGTTTTACAGCAACCATTGATGACACAATTTGAACTTCACCTTCTTTTCCAAATGTATAGTTACTAACAGGGGCGTAGACAACGGGGGGGGGGGGGGGTGAGGGGGATGCATCCCCCCCACCTCACAAGGTGGGGGGGGGGGGTGGCATGTACAATCATCCCCCAGGTTTTGGGGAATGATATTTGCTTACTTAATAAGTCATAATGATGATAATAATAGTAATAATAATAATGATAACAATTATAATATTAATAATAATAATAATTATGATGATGATAATAATAATCCTCATCATTATTGTAATTGTGTTTATTGTTATTAGCCGCATTCACACGATGAAAGCCAATTCAGACGGTAAAAAAAAGAAAATCTTACAAGTATTTTGTGGTTAGCTTGTGGTTTGGAAACCACAAGATAACCACAAGATTAAACAGGCGCGGATCTACGGGGGGGGGGGGGGTTTAGGGGGTTTAAACCCCCCCCCCCCCTTGGGCGGCCTAATAAACAAACCACACAAAAAAAGGGAAAAAAAAGAAAGAACAAAAAGAAAAAAAGAAAGAAAAAAGAACGCACGCTGGAGAGAAACCCTTTCAAGTGCAAATATTGTGAGAAGATATTCAACTCATCTGGTAACTTAACCAAACACATGATAACTCTGGATATAACTGTGTATTTAACTGTTACTTGATTTAAAAAGACGTTATCATGAACTGCTTTTTATGGTCTCCATTGTGTTAATAGATGCTAGGAAAACATCACTTACGGTGTTCAAATAAACACCCCCAAAAAAATCGGTTCGCCGCTTCGCGGCTCGTGGACGATGCTCCGCATCGTCATTATTTTGGTCACCCCCCCCCCCCTTAGCAAAAAGCTAGATCCGCCCCTGAGTAATCCCCCCCCCCAGGTGTACGAGCCTGTCTACGCCACTGGTTACTAACACTTTGTAGATATGATTTCACCATTAAATTAAAATCAACCCATAAAGAATTTGCGTTTTTTTTTAAAAACCTTTGAATGTTCATTTTGTATAATTTCAAAAGACTGTCTTCTGTGCGATGTTGCAAATAAGATTTAACATAACGTAAGTTACAATGTTACATCATACACTTTATAGCCTTTCACTAGAAGTTCTTCACTTATATATATATATATATATATATATATATATATATATATATATATTTGTCTTGCAAAGGTGACATAAAAGCCTTTTGAAGGATTTCCAAAATGTTCGTGCGAGTTTACAGTGTAATACAAACTGTCTATATTTGCTGTCATTAAGAGCACCATTGTAGCAAATTTTCTTTTGAAGGTAAACTATCGTTCAGAAATTTTAAATTAAATTGCTAATCCTGTTATCTCTTAATTGTGAAAAACAATTTCCAATTTAAATATTCTGGTAATGACAAAACATTGCACAATGATATAGTTGACGATTGTGAGAAACCCATGCACTCAATATTGAATATACCTTTTTAGTAGTTATAGAACCAAGAGATATATCATCTCCTGTTTTAAGTGTAATTTAATCATCTTCCTTTCGTTAGCAATTACTGGTATTTTTTTCCTAGATCTCATCTTATTAAAAAAAAATAGCCTAATCAGAACATGATTTCCTTAGGCAATGTTATTGGGGGGAATTCTTTGCTATCGTCTCTTTAGTTCTAAAAGAACGAAACCAAATTTCCTCGTGTTATACTCAGTAGATACGCACAACTAAATTTGTTTACATCACTAAAAGGAATCCTTTACCTTTACGTAGAGAATTGGTTGGTTTCTTTAAAGATACAGAAAAGTGTTGCTGGAATTGAAATTCACAGAGGTAACTGATTTAAATAAAGGATGTTTTAAACTTAAAAACTTAAAATGTTGTTAAAGGGAGAACCAAAAGTTAGCACGAGTGCTAGTCTGGATTGGTTCTCCAAGTTTCTAAAACTGTAAGGAAAGTCATATTATGTATTCGCACTCAAAAAATAAGCAGGAAAATTTATTTGACTTAATAGCATATTATTTGATCCTTATGATTCATCTCTGCTGAAGAGTTTAATCTGAAATTGTTACGAAATGATGATCTTATATTTATGGGCAAATTGGTCCACAGCTTTGCTCCAATGAAAGAAATTGAAAAAGTCCCATGTGTCGTACTACATTTAGGAAATAGTAGCATTAAATGTTCTCTCCCTCTTGTTCTATACATGTGAGTCATCAAATCAAAGTAATCCATTAACGAATGTGGTAAATGTCCTTTCTGCAGGTCATATACAAATGCTGATACTGAATGCTCCCCGGGGTAATTGTCCTTGGTTGACCTGGTGGATGGGGGGAGGGAATGGTCCTAGGGGGTACTTTCAGGAGTGTGGGGTAATTCTCATACGGGGGTATTTTTCCGGGGGGGGGGGTAATTTTCCTTGTACGTGTGTGTGTGTGTGTGTGTGTGTATAGGATTTTGCTTCGATTTTAACCCATTGCCTACATGTGTTGCTTGAATTAAGCCTATGGGAATAAGAGAATTCAGTAGTCAGTTAACACCTTTTTCATTCAATTTCATCAATGTGCACTTCAATGTCGTCCTGAGAATCCTCCAACGTGCAAATTCGTCCCACCTGACGTACGGTCTGCAATCATTTCAAAATAGTTTCATTCAAATTCGTCGGATAGAGCTAAATAGACCCCTTCATAATTTGTGTACGCCTTCTTTTATTGTTGAATAAGATATATTAAGAAATTGTTAAAATGGACGGAAAACCCGTGTGTGCGTGTGTGTGTGCGTGCTTGTGTGAGCGTGAGCGTGTGTAATTTATCCAACAAAAATGTCCCCACTTTGAAAATATCCTCACAAATTATAATTTCATGATATCCGCATGATTGTTTAATGAAATAATGAGTGATGGTCTATTCAATCGGACGGCACTAAAAGTACATGTCCGGGTACATGTATGGTGAGAATTATTACGCTTGATGGATAATGTAAAGAAAAAACTCGCGAAAATTGGTTTGCGCTTAATAACTGTTTCAGTCTTGATTGCATCAAAGTGTATATCAGCATCAATTACAGTTGCTCTGTTAACCGTCAGTTATTAGAGACTTTTAGATTTGCACGTCGAGAACGTGGACTGCTACGTGGACATCCTTTTAAGACAGTGTGACGTCCTTTTAAGGCGTCCTTTTAAGGCAGTGCCTTAAAAAGATGTCGCATTGCCTTAAAAGGATGTCCACGTAGCAGTCCACGTTCTCGTCGTGCAATTCTAAAAGTCCCTATTGATAGTAACCATCACCCTCCCACACTCACACATACAACACACATACATCCACCCTTGCGCGTGCCTACATACTAATAATAATAATAGTGGAGTATTGTATAGCGCTCAGGTCTGGCACATTGCCAATCCTGGCGCTCCATTTATTAATATCCTGGCTTTAGCACGGCTGCCGTTACGGCCCTCAAGTATTTCAGGGAACTAATTCCTACCAGTACCCATTACCCTCACCGGGTTGGAGTGTGGCAATTGTAGATTAATTTCTTGCCCAGAGACAAACGCACATAATATTGCAGAATAATGTATTTTCTGCACTGAATTTCATTTCTTTCTTTTTTCAATTTGACAAAATATAAATTGTTCAATTTCATAAAACAGAGATAAAAAAACTCATTCCTAAATATTCAATTTAGTTCCTTTGTTTGTGCATCATTGAGGGCTTCATAGACCCTGCATATAGCGCATTGGATATAGGAGGGAATTACTTCTTTACGTTCTCTCTCTCTCTGTCTCTCTCCGTACATCTATCTTCATTTCTCCCTTTCTCTGGAATAGCCATGTCTCTGCACCTGTAAAGAGCGCGCACTCTCTGTATCTTGATCTGGCTCTCTTATTTTCTCATTACTATTTCTTAATTTCGTTCTTTCAGTCTATCCGTCTTTCACTCTGCGAATTTTCCCCTATCTCTCTTTCCATATGTATCCCTAGTCCAAGTACAAGATTCTTCTATCCCCAATAAACAAAATCACGGGAAAATCACGTCAATATCAAGGTATCGACTTGAGGAGAGTTACGTTCTTCAAACACCTGACATTTACGTAAATGTGTTAATACGTTTATTGCACTAGGTAACTTAAAACACACGTACACTAAATCACGCAATTGTCACTGCAATATCACCATTATAATAACGTGATTATCCCTACCTTGGAGACCATGGTTTGTAAACCTAATACTCCCGTGTTTGTTTGGTTATGAAATTACATCTTCATAAACGAAATTATCGCGTCACAGAAACACGTGAAGCGTTAGTGATAGTTTTAGTCAAAATATCTGCGTGAAATTCACGTGAATATTACGAGGCTGACTTGAGATGAATCATGTTCTTCATTCACGTGAAATTTACGTCGAAGAGGAAGTATGTTACTGTAACCCGCGTTCAACCCAATAATTACGCAAATGTTACACAATAAATGAACCAAAATAATGACGTTCTCATCCCGTTTCTGAACATCATGTCTTGGATCTTCCATCATTACGTCCAGGCGCGCCGGAAGCAGTTTGGGATTAGAGGGGGTGGGGAGGGGGTGCAAACATCCCAGAAGAGAAAGCTTGTTGCAACTGGTCCAGTTGATGAACCAGTTAATGCCAACTGGTAACCCTGGAAATTGAAATGGGCTAAATTATCCTTTTGATCCAGGCCAGTTATAATTCAACTGGTCTAGCTGAGCCAAGAACCATTTAGTAAAACTTCCAACCAGTTGAACAGCAACAATACTTCAATACCGGTACGTCTGTATTTCCAATGTAAAGGCATTGGTAATAAGTAGACTTACATAATTGTATTAATCGAAAGTTTTTCGTATAATTTATACGAAGTAGCGAAATGTCCTAATAACTGATAATTTATATTTGTAGTATTTTCGAAATGAATTGCATAAAACTAAATCATCAGTAATTATGAAATATGCTGTAAATTCAGATAAATTGTTTAAAAAACATAGATCTGCACGCACCCCATATTCAATATGCAAATTAATTGGTGTCAGCTGGTTCAACTCGAAATATGCCAACAGTCACGGGATTATCACCACGGAACTTAAATGGTAACTGTGAAACCATCAAGACACCCAAGAATAACTCATTTTCACACCTGGAAAACACGGAATACCCAGCTTATATTAATAATCCGTTTGAGTCATGAGATCATCACTGCGGAACTGCTGGCAACGTTGAATACCATTTAAATAGGTGTTTTAAGACACCTAATAATGACTAATTTTTCACACCTAAAAGTCACGTATGCCCAGCTTAGATTATTATTCCGTTTGAGTCACGAGATCATCACCGCGGAACTGCTGGCAACTTTGACTACCATTTAAATAGGTGTTTTAAGACACCTAATAATTACTAATTTTTCACACCTAAATATCACGGATTCACAGCTTAGATTAGTAATCAGCTTGAGCCACGTGGTCATAACCAAGAAATTTATGGTAACTTTGAAACCATTTAAAGAGGTGTGTAAGACACCTCAGAATTATTAATTTAATATAACCAGAGATTCACGGACAGAACAATAAGACGATTAGCCGGTGTCAGTAACGTGATTATTACCATCAACCTTGGATAACCTGTGAAACCAATCGATAAAGGTACTTACAAGACCAAATAATTACGTATTTATTTATTTATTTATTTATTTAAAATGGTTTATTTCATTAAAAAACATTCGCGGCCCGAGAGCCGAATTGCAGTTTCTTTTACAAGGTATACATCAGTGACAAAGTAAAATTACACGTAAAACATTATGCATGGTAGCATTATGGTAGTAAAATTGGAATTCTTTTGTACAAATGATTATGCTTCAACGACCTTGGCAAATTGCTTGGTACATATACAGAAATTCGAATTGTATTACCATATTTGCAATAAAATGATATATTAAACTTATACAATACATGAATAGCAATAAATTTTTGATGTTCAAAAGAATTAAATGTTTTGGTTGGAAAATGCATAGCCAGATGGGCAAGGTATAGTTATGGTGTTTTCTTCAATAACAGGGACAACAACAGAAACCAAATCCAGGAATTATAAAGTCAAATAGATGCTCCAATGATTTAAACAGATTATCCAAATTATACATTGTAGGTAAAATGCAGAACATTTTGTATTTGGGCCAATTTAGTAAAAGGTACATGTAGAATATTGCATAAAAATATGGTAAGATAAGTTTCGCATACAAACATGGGTAAAAGGTTGCCTTTGTAATATTCGATATAATGTGTATCATCTTGGGAATCGTTAAAAAGTCAAACAGGATTTTGTACAATTAAATCTGATTTAATTTAAAAAAAAGTAAAATTCTATAACATTATTCAAAAATGCATTCACATGTCATCCTTTTATTTAGGAAGTTATCTCAGAGAAATAGAGAGAGAGATAGAGAAAGAGAGAAAGAAGGAGAGTGAGAAAAGGGAGAGAGGGGGTGAGGATGGGAGAGAGATAGGAAGAGATAGGGAGAGAAAGAGAGATAGAGAGGAGAGAGAGAGAGAGAGAGAGAGAGGAGAGAGAGAGAGAGGAGAGAGAGAGAGAGAGGGAGAGGAGACAAAGAGTGAGAGTAACAAGACAGAGAGCTAGAGAACAATTGGAAGCCATGAAGAGGGTCTCCCCGCTCCGCAGCACAGCACTGACAGAGAGGAGAAAATAGGGATATTGAGAGAGTGAAAGTAGTAGAGAAAAATGAATGTGTTCGTCGAAGGTGAAACTGGTAATTATTCAGTACTATGAGCGTTTAACAATCTGACTAGATATGGCAACGGACTGTTTCTATACCGTGTCGTTTTGCATGACATTTCAGTGAACTTGCTTTTATTTCTCAGATTTCGAGAATGGGAGTCCCCACGTGTTTGGGGCAGCCAATGACTAAACTTTGACCCAGGCTCGAGCAGCTTCTTTGCAAATTTGAGGCACAGACATTCTCTGCGGTCACTCAAAGAGGACACTTTACACATTTGAAGAGCGTTTTGATACGAGACAAAACGTGGCCCTAACATGAGGCGGCACGCTCGCTTTTGAATTCTCTCTATTTGTTCATTTTGTTTGGCAGACAAGCCGGAGTTCCAAACGGGCGCACAATATTCCAACACTGGCCTTATGTATGAACAGTAAATGAGAACTAGATCATCTAAGGGCAATCGAAATTTAGTGAGAACTCTCAGCATATGCAGCCTCATGTTTGCCTTCTTAACAATTTCATTGACATGAGAAGTCCATTTTAGATCTTTTTGGATGAAAACCCCTAGTAATTTGACACAATCTACTTGACTAATGTCATGTCCATCAATTTGGATGACAGGCGGTGGGGGTGGTTCACGCATGAAAGTTACTGTCATCACAGAACACTTTTTGTGGTTCAGTTTCATGTTGTTGTCTAAGGTCCATTCTTGTAGGTTGCTCACACTTGACTGGATATTCGATGGCGATGGGGATTTCCTGCATTCTAGCATTGTTAGGTCATCCACATATTTCCAGTAAGACGACGGTGACTTCCGGCATGCCTCGTTGATGATAGCCAGGAAGATAATGGGACCGAGTCTAGTCCCTTGTGGAGCCCCTGCAGAAACTTCCAGCCAATCAGAGAGCGTCGTTCGATATTTCACGCTCTGTTGTCGTTTGGTGAGAAAGTTCGCTATCCATGCTACAGCACTCGGACGGACTTGGACGGACGTTCGCCACCATCGGTTAACGGACAAAAAACTCGTTGCTTAGTCAAGTGGTTATTTGGTCATAAACACTTGATTTACAGAGGTAAATGGAATCACGTTACTCCAGTCGCGTGATAAACTGGTGGTTTTTAGGTTAGATGAAAACGTGAACAGGAGTACCTTTTTTGTTGAAATGAAGGCACGTGTCGATAACGTTTAAATCTAGTTCAAAAGGCACTATACTTTAAAATCACTTAAAATACACTCCCAAAAGAGGTTACTTTTTAGTGTTCTGTTTATTGGGATCTAAAAGTGGATATACCGTGCGTCCCAAAATTGAGGGTGATATGATACATTCATGATTTTCTTGAGTGAATTTCATGGTTTATTAAACCAAACTTGTATGCATGAGTGAACAGGAATTGCATTTTTTTTTATTGTAGTATTGTAACTTTCCCTGGTAGACTCAATGATGTGTTCATGGGAGTCAGGATGGGGGTAATGGTACATGTTGTAATTTCCATGTTACAAACTGTTATGTTTTACATCTGTGACTTTGAATAAAAACTTTCATTCCACATTTCAGTTATTGTAAGTTTAGTTGAAAATCTCATTGATTTACTTAATAACCAGATGGGGATTATGTAAATTGATTATTCAAATACGGGTTTTTTGAAAAAGGAATGTCACTGATGTTGGCTACTTATTCTTCAGGTTACCCAATTACCTTGACCCTTATCCCATCTACCCAACAAAGTCCTACCCTACATTTTACCTCCCCTGTACCATTCACCATCACGCCGTCCTGACTCCCATCCCATGAACACACCACCGAGTCTACCATAGAAATTACATTGCTATACGGTAAAAACAAATGCAATTCCTGTTCACTTATGCATAAAATATTAATCCCATAAACCACAAATTTCAATTCAGCAAACCCAAACTTATCACAATTGATCATAACTTGGTCATATCATCCTCAATTCCGTAAGCTCCAAAGGATTTACCTCTCACAAATTGGAAGGCTAATTCCTGCGCAACCTAATTCTCATACCCTTTACAAAAGTATGAATTATTTTCAGACTTTTTGGTGTCATATAAAATTTGAGTTAATGAGCTTTCCATTCATATAAAACTTTATTCCCCAGAATCATATATTTTTTATTCGGCAGCCATTTTAAATGTATATAGTTTTTTTTGGGACGCACGGTATCACTCATGCCATCTTGCGGTCAATATGTGCAAATTATAAAGAAACACGTGGCCGAAGAGAGGGGGAAAGAGTTCTTTGGCACTGCAACCCCCCCCCCCCCCTCTCTCTCTCTCTATTTTTTTAAATTTCTCTCTCTCTCTCTTTCTCTACTGACCTCTTGAAATTGATCTGTTTCGATCGATATCAGTAGCATTTTGTCAAATTACTTTGCTTTTCAAACCATGAAATTATACAATTCAAAAGGTAATTTAATATTCGACTTATTACATCGATTTATTCATCACAAGAAATGTATTATTGCACTTCATATATTGTATTTATTAAAAGGTAATACTATAACTTTGAACATCATAATATAAACTGTCTAGAAGTTTTAATAGCGAAACTTTTAAAACGACAATACGAGATTAAGTTCAATACTGAAAGATTAGAAAAGTTGTATCCAAATAATGTGGCCAAGATTGGTCTACTTATCCGAGGGCCCCCGTTTTTCTTTTCTCTCTCCCTATCTAGTTTTGTCTTCTTATATGAGATTGTACCTCTAGTTTTTAGGTATCCATAGTTATGTGAATAAATAGTACTCCAAACGTACCTGCTACATTGTAACCCTTTTATAACTTGGCCAAATATTGACTATTCCTTCGAAGTTGATAATGTCGAGTATACCATTTTTAAAAATGTTTTTTGAAAATGGCCAATGCAATGTCGTTTTATGAATATTATATTCTGCTTGTTCGGTTCGTATTAGGCATTCTCAGATAAAATCCTGCAAGCGTTGAGCTTGTATAATCATACTTTATCAAGAACTATCGAGACATTCTTACACGTTTCAATTACTCTTGGATGAATTACTGTGATCAATTGTTTAGTTGCGGGCCATGGTATCCTTTATCCAATCGTTAAAATAGGACACATCAGAGTAGACCCCGTAGTAACCTGGATCGGCACAGCCGGAACCCCAGCTGACGACTCCTACAAGAGTCCATTCATATGAGTTAAATCCAGCTTTAGTCTTCACCACCAATGGTCCGCCGCTATCACCCTGTACAGCAATGAGAATGAGATTAAAGATAAAGGTGAGTTCTGGCAATGCGATTGCATTGTGAAAAAAATATGTGTGGAATGGATTAGAAAAAGTTGATCACATAGCATGTAAGTATTGGTGTGTACTGCAAGATTCTGGAGTTATCAAAATCATAATAAATTCGGCTCAGTCTTGGTAAAGTAACAATCACTGTACACAGAAAGATGTATGTGGGACAACACAAATGGTGTCGAGGCTAGTACTACCTTTATTTCCTTATCTTTCTTTGCTCATTACTCAGCCAGTATACATTTTCTTTTAAAAAATGTTTGGCACATGACATTTATTTGTAGTCTTGAATATTCAGTGTAATAATTTAGAACAAAATAAAAAAAAAAACTTATCAGTTAAGTTTCGTTAGATTCTGTGAGAATTCATTTTCTTTTTTGTTACCAGAACTCAAGTTTATCTTTAAAAGAAATGTTCAATTTTGGGGTGGTTGTGGGGCATGGTGGGGATCGATGCAGTTATCTTTTTCAATGTGGTATTGATGTTCGTAGTATCCAAATATAATCACATCCTTCAGCCCCTCCACATTTACTCAAGCTAAATAAATTTATTCCCAATTTATCATCCAGGCCTAGTGCTTTCTTTCAGTCTACCTTCCTTTTTATAAAATGAATATTTTATTTTGTATATTGTTAAGTATTCAATCAACAAGTATTGTGGTCTGTTTGATTTGTCTCCAGAAATGTTCTGTTGACTCCAATCAGAGTTAGAATCCAAATTCGGCATTATAACACCCTTCTTTGGCAAGACGTATTGGTGTGTGTATGTGTGCGTGTGTGTGTGTCTGTGTGTGTGTGTGTTCGTTTTTGGATGTTGGTTGTTTTTTGTTTGTCTTCTTTTGTTCTTTTCTTTTAATATTTTGTATAATTTGACAGCACACTTCACCCTGCTGTCACCTCGATGTTGAGGGCGCTGTCCACGCCTCCTCGTCAAAGTGTGAGAAAGGAGTACATTTGCCTATAGGACAATGGGAATTTTCGATTGGGGATCATCCCATGAGATCGACATCGACAAAAGGTTCACAAGGACGACAGCTTACGAGACCGACAAAAAATACACCATAATCTATATTTAAAAAAATAATAAAGTTCCTAAAGGTCTATGACACCAACATAAAAATTAAAGACCAGTGGATATCTCGTATGCTGTCGTTTTGGTGAACCATTACGCAAAAAAAGTGTCAGAATGCCCACAAGAGCGACGAGAGCGACATTATCGGTCTTCTGGGTTATTGGTCTTGTGGACTGTTGGTCTACTGGTTGTAGTCGTAAGTGGTTTATTTACCTGGCATGAGTCCTTGCCTCCCTGTTTCAATCCAGCACATATCATTGTTGAGTCAATTCTGGTACGGCCGTAAGCACTTTTACATGCGTCCTGACTGACGATTGGTACATTGACCTGATGTAGTACATCTGGAGAATCTCCTTTATACTCTGTAGTATACAATTTATATAGCAGAAATTAGTACATATTGACCAAGACAAAATAGTAACGATTAGATTAGCGAAATTAAATATATAATAAATATGGAATATATATGTATATATTTTCTTTCTTTTCAATTAGTGTACTGATCGGACCATACCATTTTTTTGATCACTTACATATAACAGATTCACTTGCATACTTTACATAGGGCCTAAAAAAACATGTTTGATTACAATTTTACATAAATAGTTAAACAGGTAGTGATAGCATACTAGCGAGAGACATGCTAGTTTGGCGTCGATGACCAAGACCTCATAGATTTAGCTGGTGTCTCGAATACAGGTATAGCATATAATTATATGTTATACATTCCTCACATTGAAATTATTAGATTTCCTGTCTTTTATACAAGTTGAAAAGCATATCTAAAGAGTATTAAAGAGATAAATGAGGACTCAATAGCAACGCAAATATTGATTAAGACTAAAAACCGAGAAGAGCGTAGCCCTATGAGGCGTCCTTGCACATAATACATTGTGAATACATAATAAATATCTAAGCTTTGTACTTCATCTTTCTTGTGATATTATTTATTTGAACAGAGCCCTGTTGAAGACCTGCCTTTGGATATATTTCCTACGTTTACTACACTGATATATGAATCATTGTACATCTACGCGATGAGTAATGTTTTTAATTATTCTTTTAAATCATCTATAAGCTATACAGGCTATAGTCTTGGCCAATATGAATGTATTACTTACCCAAAGCTCCCCAGCCAGTGACATAGGCATCTACGCCATTACTTGGTCTGGACGTAGCTAGGCAGGCTGGTGAGGCATAGTCATTGTATTGGACCTGACCATTAAGCTTGATCATAGCAATGTCATTCCCATTCCCATTTTTGGTATAACCCTCGTGGAGGATTATCTTACGGGCAGTGAACGTCTGACGTCTCCATTCGCTTTTACCTCCATCATTAGCACTTTTATGACCTCCTACGGAAAACTCGTGTACGGCATTTGTCAAACTGAAACGGAGAGACAAGTACGAGTCAAATTGGAACATAGTTTATCTTTATCAGTTATTTCTTGCCCTTTTCATACTCATAAGTGCCCCCTTTTCATCCCTGAGGAGTGCCCCTTTTTAGGTGCGAGAAGTGCTCCCATTTTAACCTATGATAATTGCTGATTTTACTTAGACAGTACTGGCTCATTTTCTATTCTCATAAGTGCCCTTTCCCTTCTGATAAGTGCCCCTCCCCCATTTTATTTCTCACACAACATTTTCCTCTGATTGAGAGCGACTGAAAGCAACCTTTTCATTAAAGGGACTTGGTAACATTGTTCAGATGAGAAAAAATGGTGCAAAGCTCGTGACTTCAATGATAGATGTACAATTAAAGATGATCTGAAAGTTTGAGTGAAAACAGACCATTATAAGTGATACAAATTGCGAAAAACTAATATGATCGATTCCTTAATTCTCCCAACTATATTATTACACTTAAATTACATTTTGGTGAATTCAAATCGTCACAAAGCAATGAATTAGCTGTATATACCTTCCAGACATTTAAGTGTTGAAAGATTTTTAAAAGCCTGTCTTATGTCTTTTTTCATGGAAAAACGGTTGGGAAAATTCCAAAAAGGTTGGGAGAATTTACTGTTAGATTGTGTTGCCCAGTGACGCCTTCAAAGATGGTTTGAGAATTTTTCGCATGTTAAATGGTTAATAAAGTATAAGGAATATAATAAGTAACAATTAATACCAAAATTACGCATTTTTTTCATCAAACTTCAACAATGTTACCGAGTTACTTTATATTCTCCAAAAGCTCGCCTGCTACCCTCGCTCACATTTATATTTGATATTATTATATGTTACTTTCATGATTAGATTGTGCTTAAAACTCCTTCAGTATTTTTTTCTCGTCTTTATAAGATGTAATTCTCGCACTACGACCTCACTCTTAAATTATCTTAATCTTAAACTACAGTTTACATCACACTGATTTTCTTTTTTTACTAAGACCAGTCCCATAAAAAGCACATTCATGCAGGGTTTCAGTAGAATGCACAGTCAGGACTTCTGTTCTGCCACAAACTTTTACAGAGTATTATCACGGGCATTAGCCATTTTGTGCTTCCAGTTACCTACATTCGTGGATGGAAACCATCTGATGTCGAGGGCTGATCCATGTCTACGTACACTGTATACAGTTCAGCAATATACATTTTATGTTTTAAGTTCAGAAGTCGACTCAGGGTTAGTCGACTTGAGGTCTCCTTAACCCAAGTCAACTTTCAATTGCTGCATAATAATATATATATATATACAATCAAACCTGTCTATTCGATTCAATTCAGTTTTATTCATTTCCATAAAAATCACATTACAAGAACACAATACATTTGCAAATAGTACTGTAAATAACATAATAATCTTTCACTAGAATGTACATAAGTACATTCAAATATTATACAAATAATGAATGGTTATGAGTTCAATAGTGCGAATATTTTCATGAATTGAAAGATTAACATTCTATTCAACGGGGCGTCAGCCGACTTAAATAGATTTAACGTCAATCTTTCTACTCATGAAAATATTCGCACCATTGAACGAATGAAAAACATTCATTATATGTTGGGCTCGGTGTAAAAATGTCAGAGGTAAAAATGTCAGAGGAAAAAATGTCAGAGGAAAAAATGTCAGAGGTAAAAATGTCAGAGGTAAAAATGTCAGAGGTAAAAATGTCAGAGGAAAAAATGTCAGAGGAAAAAATGTCAGAGGTAAAAATGTCAGAGGTAAAAATGTCAGAGGTAAAAATGTCAGAGGAAAAAATGTCAGAGGTAAAAATGTCAGAGGTAAAAATGTCAGAGGTAAAAATGTCAGAGGTAAAAATGTCAGAGGTAAAAATGTCAGAGGTATAAATGTTAGAGGTATAAAATAAAAACAAAATCATGTGGCAAGTTTGTTATGGTTACACCCGGGCCATATATTAGGCTTATCGAAAAAGAACAGCGAGGGATATTCTGCAGTCGTTATTTCACCGCTGCTTTATTTTCTACTTTCCCAGTTAAAATTTATTTACCTTTCGGTCCCAAATTGTGACTTTTTGCCCGATTATTGCCGAAGGAAGACGAGGGGGGGGGGGGGGGCGGGTATTCTTCTTCTGGGGCACGGTGACCCGGCTGCTCTCCCCTTCCTCTTATATTATGCTTTGCTATATATCCTTCTGAACAGTGGTCAATGCCTAGGCAGAGCAGGCAGACTAATGGGACATGGTTTCTGTTCCGAGTTTTGCGCCTTGCAAGCAATCATCAGGCAATTATTGATAGCATTCTTAAAAGTACATGATTATCTTATACAACCTTGGTACAAATACCCCTAAAATAAGACTTAACTAATAAAATACAATTAGAATTACTCATGAGTAATTCTTATTATATTTTATTCAGGTATTGTATTAGTTAAGTCTTATTTTGAGTGTATTTGTACCAAGGTTGCAGAGGAATCATGTACTTTGAAGAATGCTATCAGTTGTCTGATGATCGCTTGCAAGGCGTGAAACTCGGAGTAGCAACCATGCATGTCCCATTAGCAGCGCTCAAAATACACGGGGGCGATTGCAAAATTTAAAATCGCCCCCGTGGAATTATAAAATAAAGATTATCTTTTCTGTTATAACTTTAACACAATATTGAGTTTCAATTTTCAAACCTTAAACCAATGAAATGGAACTTAGATTAGCGTGCAAGATTTCTCGTTCTATATGAGTATTTATTAACGATTCAGCTCGCAGTGCAGTGCTGCAGTCAGCAGTGGTTATAGGCCTACTGCGCCGTTAGTAACGGTACGTGTTCACGCTGCCGCCCCATATCTGCTGGAGCTGGAGGCGATCGCGCAAGGGCAGAAACATGGTCATGGAGAAGTTTTTCGTCGTGAAAAGCGTATACCCGCTGAAATCTGGTGATTTCAAATGACCAGCAAATAGTGAACCTAGACCAGTAAACCAAAATTAGGGACTTTTAGATTTGCACGACGAGAACGTGGACTGCAACGTGTGACCTCCTTTTAAGGCACTGCCAGTGCGTAAAAGGACGTCACATGATTGTGACTGCCAGTGCCTTAAAAGGACGTAACACGTCCACGCAAATCTAAAAGTCCCTATTGGGAAGAAGAGGAAGACCAAGATGTTGTTGAATGATATGGTAACATGGGCAGATCTACAGGGGGGGGGGTTTAGGGGGTTTAACATTTTTGAGCAGACTCAGGCGACCGGTGAATATTAAAGCGGTGGGGGATGCTGGAGAGGAGGACCACTAATTTTTTTATTTTTTTTAACTCTCACTTTCACCTATCCCAGATAACCCTAAGTTTTGTGTTGCTGCTTTATATGTAGATGATAATGCATGATTACAATAAATAGAGAGAGAGAGAGAGAGAGAGAACCACCATCATTATGCAATGGTTCAGGGTTTGTGTAATGTACGTTTGAAACCATTTCTTAGCGTCTCAACCCTAAAAAAATAGCGAAACTATTTTTGAGGAAAAGCATTATACTGAACTGAATAAAGAATAATAACTTTAAATTGGCTCATACTAATACTGATACGGGCTAAATACAATGTGGTATCGGCACAGTAAGATCGGGTATTTGTATAGAGGTATTCCAAAATGACATTCTGATAATCAACATTTTGTTCTGTTATCATATGTATATACGCATAATACAACTGATCTTTGTGATTTCTTAACGTGACATAGTTTCTTCTCCCCCTGCAAACAAAAAAGAAAACAAGGTTATTTAATAAAAGGATCATGGGACAAAACGATCATTGTGATTCAAATTGATGCAAGGATTTTTTTTTTTTAATATTAAGCAATGCTTTTCACCAGAATCTTCTTTGTAAAAACGACTTTTAAAAATCTCAGCCATGCAATTCTGCCACTGTGTTGTAAGATCACTTTCACATTAGGAGAAGTGTATTTCTTCAATGAGTATTTTAAATTGAATGGAACGTCTCAACTCAGTAAGCATGGCTGAGATTTGTAAAAGTTGTTTTTACAAAGAAGATTCTGGTGAATAGCAGTGCTTATTCAAACAAATATTTGAATCACAATCATTATTTGTCGCTTAATCCCTTTTAATGATCTGTTTTCTTGCTCGTTCCAGTTCAGTTCAGTTCATTTTATTCAAAACCACACAAAGCATGATATAATCTGTTACATAATAAAGAGACTGGTAATAGTACATCAATCAACATATTCTAACTTGATTACATAATAAACTGAATGGTTTTAGGACCCCTTTAGAAGCTAAGCTTGTGAGCGGGGCCCTATAGTCAACAAAGTACATACATTTACAGTAAAAAGAATGTTACGTATGATTATACAATGGATGAAAATACTAAGCTACAGAATATAGAACATACAAATACTCTCTCACACACACACGCACCACCCACACACACACACACACACTGACAAGTAGGTCCTTAGTGGTCAAAAAACATTTCAGAATAAGAAAATACTAAGATGCAAATAAAAACTATGTCAGTCTTTCAAGTAGGTACGTTTTAGATAACCTTCTAAACCTAGAAAGAGTTGTACTATTTTTTATATCATCAGGCAGACTGTTCCATTCTTTAATGCAAGGGGAGAAGAAGATATGTCATAGTGTGGTACGGTATGTCACTGAAACAGCCCCCGTACGACTTTTGTGCCAAAATTGATTATCAAAGTGGGGGGGGGGGGGGCTAAAGTATTTACGATCAGGTAGAGGGTAGCGAGCGTAAATTGGTGTGGGGGGCTCAGGGGGTGGAGCCCCGGAAGCTCAGGGGTTTTAGGCATTTAATTACGGTCAGAGAAGCACAAATATTTTGATGCCGCATTTACGTCACTGGCAGGTCAGGGGGAGGGGGTTGTTAAGTTAAATTTACGTTATTATCCTACTTTTTTACCGGTTTGGGAGGCTAGGGGGGCGGGCCGTTAGAATCGGCCCGTGGATCCGCGCCTGTACAAAAAAGCACCAAAAACAGAATCGCTCAGTAAAGAAAGAATGTAAAGGTTGCTCAGAATAATGAGGAGAAAGTAATGTGCAGAACGAGAAGAAAGTAATGTGCAGAACGAGAAGAAAGTCAGTAACAGCTATGTACATGTAGCTTGTAAATTTGTAAGAGGCAAAATGCTGATTATAATGAAATAGCAAAGAATTAAGGAGTATCATAGGTACCAATTCAATGGAAATTTGTATAAAAAAGAGCCCTCGTCAGTACTAAAAGAGCCCCCGTGAGAAGGCTCACGGGGGCTCTTTTTTGGGGGAAGAGCCCCCGTGGACAAAAAATTAATTTGAGCCCTGCCCATTAGTCTGCCTTATTCAATATTTATATACTGGTATATTATGCTTTTGTAAAAGCAAATGGTACTAGTACACTGAGCAAACTTCTGGGGAAAAAGATTTCTAAAATCGAGAAGTTTGGCCATGTTTTATAGGCTGAGTTGTCGCTCCATGGTGTAATTATTAAATAAGAATAAAAGTCAGTACAGCCCCCGAAATAGGATCAGATATCTATGAACCTCCCCCCCCCCCCCGCCCCCACTTCTCCTTCACTTTTGAAGATTGTTGGACATTTTAACTGCGTGGCAATGACTACTATTATATGTAATTTCCAATAAATGCATATTTCCGACAATTCCACTTTCTTGTGGGCTTGGTATTTTGATACTCTGAAACAAAGCAGAAAGCCATGTTATCAATGCTAACCCATCACATTCCCGAAGTGCGCGCGTTCCAATAAAATATTGTCGATTACTATTGCGGTATAAAATAGTCTGGGAGAAAATCAATAAGCAGCTTTGTTACTCCGATAAAAAGCAGAAAGCCGACCATGTTACATCAATTAAAGAGAAGGTTGAGTTCTGGGGAAAGGTGAACAATAATTTGTGAGCGTTTGTTATCATTCTTGTTATGCAAGTGTGGAAGAACATCAAAGAAAAAAGTTATTCCCTGAAAATCTATTTCAAATGACTTCATATCCCAGGTATGACAAGTAACGGCTTTAAAATGAGGCCTGATTTGATTTGCCATATGTTTGTGTAGTCCCATATCAATATCTTTCTGTGTACAGTGCTTGTGACTTTACCAAGACTGGGCCAAAGTTTTTATCATTTTGATAAAAATTTTCGTGTTTTCGTGATTCCTCGTGATTATATGTAATTATTTGTACTAAATGCACTACTCACTTTAACACTTGACTTTTGTCGAGAACTTTCATTTCTTCGTTTGGACTTTGATCGTCTCTGGGACGTTACACGGGATGGGTTGTAGGCTGCCACCGGCCAAACCGGTCCGTTTCACAAACATTAACACATCAACCAATTCAAAATATCAAAAAATGTTAGACATTCATACATAATATAATTATATGCAAGCCTGATCACAAAAAAATAAATTTCAAAATCTATTTTCCACATTGTATTATCCTCAGGACATGTACGAAATACAACAAACAGCCATTTATACAATTTACATTATTGAAGAAAGGAATATAATAGACAAGCCCATGCAGTAGCTCTACGTCTCGACATTCTGTGTGATAAAAGTGCTGAGATATTAAAACGGCACTCATTTTTTTTTGCTTGTACATTTTTACCTCTGATATTTTTACCTCTGACATTTTTACCTCTGACATTTTTACCTCTGACTTTTTTACCTCTGACATTTTTACCTCTGACATTTTTACCTCTGACATTTTTACCTCTGACATTTTTACCTCTGACATTTTTTCCTCTGACATTTTTACCTCTGACATTTTTACCTCTGACATTTTTACCTCTGACATTTTTACCTCTAACATTTTTACCTCTGACATTTTTTCCTCTGACATTTTTACCTCTGACATTTTTACCTGGCACCATATGTTGTATACAACATCGCCCGTGCGATAGAACATCTATTGAATATCATGTGACCAAAAATCCTCCAATCAAATGACTAGGATCCACGTAGGTGTTGTATAATAAACAATAATGGAAAAAGGGAAGTTATAAAAACTCAAAAAATTTGTTTGTCGAGATATTTCCCTCAAATGTAATACAAAAAATATGATGAACATAATAAAGATTTGAAATTCCATAAACTTATTTTGCCCCCCCCCAAAAAAAAAAAATATTAAAAAATCGCATAGCAACAAAAACAAACAAAAAAACTATACAAGCCCTACAAACACACACACACACACACACACACACATCTATAAAGTGGAAAATTTCTATACAAAATCACATGTGATTATATGCTGCTTTGCACTTCTTTTAAATCCATTGTAATTCATTATAGATGTTATGTAATATTTGCCGCAAAGTATTCCATATCCTTGATGCTTTATGCACAAAATGTGGTCTATAGACAGGTTATTTCAGTACATTTCAAGGTTATTTCAAGGTAAACAACAAAAAAGTGTTTTTTGTAGACTAAAGCAGGTTTGATTGTATATATCTGTATGTATATATATATATATATATATATATATATATATATATCTATGGTGTGCGTGTGTTTGTGTGTGTGCGTGCGTATGATAGTAAGCAAATATTAACAGACCACGAGGGTAATGGTACAATATCATCGCCGAGTTCACCGAGGCGATGATAGTTTGTATCCATTGCCGAGTGAAGGAGGTTAATATTTGTTTTATATTCCACATCGGCAATGTCTATTTAAAGTGAATTTTACATATTAAAAGAACTAGGATTTCGCTCGCGGTGTTCTAATTCTGCAGACAGTTTAGCTTCAGCAGATATATTTGTTTCATTTTTACGCGATTTATGTTCAAGGCACAACATGCATACATGTAATAAAGTCGATGCGAGTGCATTTGACTTTTCCAACGCTTAAAATTAAGCGTCGTTGACTTGTACTAGTTTGGCTCTGACATTTCGCGTAACCTACTTTCCTATGCTTATTCAATGGGCAACTGGGGCAGCAGCAAAAAAATACTGTACAAAAGTACTATCGCAAGGAGATAGTATTTATCTATCATTGATCATGTGACCTCGTTTAGACCAATCAGAGTGCAAGATTTCTTAGTATGCGGGGTATAATGCTTACTCGTCGTCAAAGCAATGAGCTGCAGAGACAATCCACTCGTTGTCGATGAGGGTGGCGCCACAGTAATGGTAACCATTTTTGATGACCTCTGTCATCCAGGGCCAGCTGTTAGCCTTGGCGGGTTGACCACCAACGATCGCAGTTGACATCTCAGTGGGATCAATCGCCGGTTGACCGCACTCAGTAGCCGCTTAAAGAAGAAAAGAATATGGGAAGCATCCTAAGAAAATGCTCGGTCAGTCCAGGGAGGTGAGGTCCCTGGTCAGTCGCAGTCGACATGAGAAAGTGTTGTGATAATTGATAGAGTTTGTGATCAGAAATGGTATGTCTTCATTGACTCTCAAGAATGATGAAGGTCCTAAGAACATCATTTAGATCGATAAAGAAAACAACGCGAAAGTGTGAGAAATGGTCGCGTAGAACAAAAAACTGCAATGTGAGCTATCAGGCAAATGATGTACTTGGAACAATGTTAAATAGAGCCTGGCTCTGATCAGAGGGAGAGTAAAAGGTAGGCCTATTTTGGATGGGTAGTTTGAAGACATTTCTTGAAGAGATAGAAATGAAGGGATGGGGTAAAACTAATGGAGAAGGCTAAAGATAAAAGAGTTTTGGAACAGTATGATCACAAATAAAAAATAATAAAAAACATTTAGAGAGATGGGGAAAGAGAAGAATGGCATCGAGGGAATGAAAACAAAAATCAATGTCGAGAAAATTAGACACTGCATTAAAATCCTTGTTCCTTTATGACGCGGCAAACCGCGGCGGGATTTTTTTCATAATGACGTATAATACACTTCAATTCTTCTATTTGCTTTCTTTTTTATGGCGGTTTACTGCGTCATATCTTAAAGAAGAAGGAGAAAAGGTGACGGAACATAGATAGTATGGATGGTGATATGACAGAGTTATGGTTAAAGTAATGTTGTACCGGTGTCTTACCGTTAATAGCGCTAAAAGCGCAGGCGAGAATCAGGAACCTCAGCATGATGATGATTTGATTTCTGGTGAACGTCTTTTTGAAAACAGTCCGTTAAATGAAGAAGTGGCCAAAAAGCTGCGATACTTATACCCTTTTCACAAAGGAAGGCAAATCATTACCGGGGATGGAGGGAAGGGGTCAATGCCCATTCTATGTCAACATGAGCAGTGCACTCTCTCTCTCTCTCTCCCTCATGATGATAATTATAATCCGGATAAAATTGCAACGTTGCTGAATTACCCGTTCCTCAAAGTCCTACGCAATAGATCTGACCACGCCCATTCTATATTCGGATATCTTACAATGAGTAAACAAACATCAAACAGTCTGCCAAGATGTTACTAACTTCATGTTTAGAATGCTGTCAGTTGAATTTTCCTCATGATAGTGAACGGTATAAGTGAAGTAGATTCAGTTAAGCCCCTTTCACGCCGGATCTGCGTAAAGGTGCGTACTGTATTAGGCTGCGTTTTCATGACAAAAATGTTGCTTCCGTTGAGTACCTGCGTAGCTTATGCGTATATTGGCGTGCGATTGCGTAAGGTTAGATACCCTGTGCAAAGGCATTGGGTACCTACGCTTACGATTGCGTATAAGAGGCATAGGGTTGCGTACGTTTACGTAGGCCTAGCGTAAAGGGTACGTAGGTTTGATTAGGGTTGCGCACGATTGCTTTACTGCTTGCGCAAATAGCATCTGGGACGCCTTAATTAATCTATACGCTTTTACTGCTTCGTCGGACTGCCGTAGGGTAGCTTACTATTGCGTACGCATGGCGTAAACTAGCGTAGTGTTGCGTAGACTTGCGTAAAAATGTGTACGTTTTGCGTTTAGTGTCTACGCCGAAAGTATGCAAAGCGTTCGTCTCGCGTACCCCTTTGCGTCCCTCACGGTTTAATAAAATTTGGAGTGGACTATAAGGCTAATATGGATATTATTATTGATATTATTATAGTTACGCAGGCCGGCGTGGGGCAGAGTACACCCGGGGTAGTCGGTATGCAACACTATGCAGCTATACGAATGGCCCGGTGTGAAAGGGGCTTTAGGTCTGAGAAAACATATTTACATCTCAAAAGATGCACTGACTGTCAAAAAGGGAAGATGGTCGACGAAATACTCACACTGATGCTTTAACTTAGAGAAACTTCTTAAATATATAACACCCCCTAATTTTGCTTTACTCAATGCAGAGGAAACCTTTGAATCTATAATAAGATTAGATGGCGAAGATGTTATACTCGACCTAGCAAACTCCACAGTGATATCATATCATTGAGGAGACGATTCTGAAATGAGTTAGATCGAAGAATAAAGTATATCAATAATCAACTAGTAAATTTACTAAGGCCTATTTGTTATTTGAAATGTATTTATGACTTTAATCTTTCTTGTTCCTTTATGTCTTGTTAAAGCAAAATGTTTAAAAAATTCAATGCAGTTAAGTCAATTATATTCAAAATGATATTATCCTATTATTATTATAATGCTTAATACCTTGAAGCGCAAACTTTGACACGATCCTGATTTTGTTTTTCCTTCTTACTTCTTCCTCCTCTTCTTCTTCTTTTATTTCGGGACAGGCTCTCAGAGTATTACAATTACAATAATGTGAAAATTAAGGAATTGCAAAGTGGACATTCTCACGTTTCATAATTATAATGATTCGGTATCATTAACCTAGGGTAAAGCCCCATCAGCAGTAATACTATTCATGTGGTCACTGCAGTAATGATTACCTTAGCATTGCCAGTTTCCCATGTAATACATTTGGGTAAAGAGGAGCAACGATGGCGAAATGTCTTGTCTAAGGATGCCAGCACCGACGGAGGATCGAACCCAGGATCTATTGTATAAGAGTCAAGAGCCTTTACCAATGTACCACAGTGCTCGTCATCTACTCTTGGTAGATCATTATCACAGACAGACAAACAACATCATGACGAAGTCCATGAGAATTTTCATTCAAAGAGAAACATTGTAAAGCAGTCTGTTACGAGGATTCCTCACGTAGTCCTCATATATATATATATATATGTCTATTATCACTTGTAGAAGAATGAATCGCGCACGAAAAACTGACTTTGTCTCAATTTAGTAAACAATTTGCAGCGTTGGAAAAAATTGGCACATACTCTCGTATTTGCAAAGTCAATTCAACTTTTACCCCGTTCATATCTGAGGGTATGTTTATGCTCACTTTTTTCAGGCCAGAATGAGGCATCTGTTACGCGTTTAGTTCAAAACACGGTTGCGTCCTTTTTCATTTTTGCAGAATCACAGAAAAACGCCGATCGTAAACTCACAAAAAGGTGCGTTTTGGATCGTCGATTCTGGAAGGCATATCCGCACAATCATTTTGTAAACGCGTTTAAATGGGGTCAACGCATTAGCCTCTAGTGGGTCTACGTAGCATGCGCAGTGCAGGTTTGCAAATCCAGCTGCAAGGCCACCCAGCCAGAATTGCTTGGAGGAGCCAGAGAAGTGAGCATAAACAGTACACCGTGTAGCTGCGATTACGATGAGCGTTTCAAATCGCTCATTCTGCCTTCAAAATCAAGCATAACCCTGAGAATACCGTATTATTATTGCCGTTGTTAATCAGTAAACGATTTGCCTTGACCACTGTGCTTCAGCTTTGTAAACCAATACCGAAATACTTTCTTTATCATAATAGTGCATTATTAATTTCTGCAAAGTGAGTACCGCGGTACATTGTGATGTAAACTCTAAATACAGTGTGCAATTGTAAAGGAATAGCAATGGTAATACTACTACTACTACTACTACTACTACTACTACTACTACTACTACTAATAATAATAATAATAGCCTAATAGTCCACTCCAAATTTTATTAAACCGAAACGGAAATTCTTTTTGCCCAATTGATCGTGAGCCCGGCAGCCACTGAGCAGCGCTGACAGGCTTAGTTATGGGAATGTACAAGTTTTATGAACAATACTTAATGAAACAAAATTATGTTCATAGCGTCAAATCTCTGAGTGCGAGATTCGTTCTATAGTACTGTTACATGTACATACAGTCATATCAAATCATGCAAGATCCGAACCAGTGGAGGCAGAGCGAGTCGACTTTAGCATAATGGGGGGGGGGGGGGAGAGGAGGGGGCACCGGTCTCACTCAGTCTCAGATTAGGAGAGGGTGAAATGGGTGAGTCCTGTCTTTTTCCTTTCTCGCTCTTTTCTCATTTCCTCTTTCTCATTCTCTCTTTTCATTTGGCCCATGAAGCTGAGTCTCTGATCAGTACATAATTGATTATAATGCCTATTAAAGGCTTATAATCTATATAAGGATACTTATTTAGTCTAGGTTTAAACATTGAACCATAATCCTGTAACTGAAAAGAACGAACAGAAATCAAGTGATTCTAAATCCAATTTCTCGTTTTCGTCATGACCTAATTCAATTCGTTTATTCAGCTTGTTACATAATGACAGTAAATCATACGGAATGAAAAGCATGACGATAGGCGTTCCATAAGTCAGCACCCTATGTTAAACTAGTATAGAGTTTCATAACGTTATAAACATTAACCTAAGATTTCTACCACTTTAAGTTGAAGCAACTATCACAGAAACAACATGAAATGTTTATTGTAAATCTCACGTTTTTTTTTAAATAAATGGATACAAATAATATTCAAACAGGTGAGTATGAAATCAGACTTTCAAAAGAGTGCCATGTTGACAGTTTTGGCTCGGCCATTATCACATCACAATCGGTAGTCACCCGAACGAAGTTCATGAGAATTTTCATGTAAAGGAAAACATAGTGAAAACATGCTGTTACAAGATACATCAGGGCAGCCAACGTCAAATGTCATTGTTTTGGTTTTGATTGACAGGTTCTATTGATAGACAACTTCAGATACTGCGCCGAAAAAGGGATGTAAGAAATGATACGTTGTCAAATATTGACAAGATTTCTCCCCAACAAAAAAAAAATGATGAATCAGACGTTTTATTCGGTCTCAATATTTCTTGCCAAAAAGGTAAAAGATGGTCAAAGGTTTGTTAACATTTTCCTGACGATAACTTGTCAAAAAATTAATGCAATTTTTTTGCAATGCAATAGTTTATTAATGAGTTGATTGTTTGCCAACAAATTGAAAAATTACAGTATATCTTTTCAAAATAAACAAATTTTTATCGAGGTGTTGCAGCGGCGCACGAAGCGTCGTTATCTCTTAGATCCCTTGTTGACCTTACATTGCAAGACAAACGAATATCACTTGCGATATTATTTTCGATACTATATCCGCAATGAGGAATATATTTTGCAAACAAAATTTTGGTTCATTATTTGGTTAGAAAATGTGAAATCAAATTTCACGTCTGTTGGGCATTATTTTCATTTGCAAAACGGTTAAGATAAAAGAATCTACCCTCAGTACACGTTATCAAATAACAAGCAACACAACAGTCGCTCCGTGGCACGCTGTATATCACACTACACTATAATTATTGATTAATTATCACCCAATCATTGTACACTTCATTTCCATCATTTTGCACAATCATCAGTCATTATTCTCTCACTCACAATTTTGACTCTTTTTTTTTTCTCTCATTAACAAAAATCCAGATCTCTTGATGCCAGTTATTGCGACTCATATTGAAGTTTGCATACACAAAAGAAAAAATACTGATACACAAAACAACTAGCCTATCCTACAACAACAAAAAAATATTTTTCGTCAGTATTTAACGCAGATAATATCATCTTCTTCAAGTCGAGGCAGATAATATTATCTTTGTAGATAATATTGTCGGACTTTATCACGTGAAGTGCATGTGACCAGCGCGCCTTCCCGGGGCTGTATGCCTGGTGGGCTGTACTCTCTTATACCAACTGTATCAAGGCGATCCCCTGCCACACCCTCCCGTCTTCAGAGGCAAGCAAATTTGCATACCATTTGTTGAGTGAGTCCCCCCCCCCCCCCCTCCATGAAACTAAAATGCCCCCTCCATGGGTGGATCGACTTGCGCTACGCCACTGGTTCTGAGTTTGCATTACTTGATATATTGTATGTAGCTTAAATAACGGATTTGTGGTGAAAATATGAGTTTATGAAACTTTTTATTTTTTGTTCATCATTGTCTTAAAGATAAACTTTAGTACTGGTAATGCGATTGCATTGTGAAAGAAAACGTGTGAAAGGATCAGAAACAGTTGATCATGTAGCATGTAAGTATTGGTGTGCACTGCAAGGTTCTGGAGTCATCAAAATCATAATAAATTTGACCGAGTCTTGGTAAAGTAACAAGCACTCACATAGAAAGCTATATATGGGACAACACACATGGTGTCGGGGCTAGTATTCCTTGTCGTTTATGCTCATTACTCAGCCAGTATGCATTTTCTTCCAAAATTGTTTGGCACATGTCATTTATTTGTAATCTTGAACATTCAGTGTAAGTTTCGTTTGATTCTGTGAGAATTATTATTTTTTTTTTTACCAGTACTGGAGTTTATCTTTAATATCTTTGCTATTCTTATGCATAAGCTTATAAATTATTAGCTATTACGTCACAAATAAACCTTGTATTTTCTGTTATTATGATCGATGTATAGCGCGGTTCTCACCTTGCGAAAGGAATATCACAATATTACCATGATTATATACGTGTCGTTTATTAATAGGACCAAATATGTATCAATCATCAATTTAAAGTGAAATTCTATACACTATATTTCAGTAATTTTTTAAATAATGATTTCACTATATCATTTTGATGACAAACTCGAGAGGCTATCAATAAAGACAAATATAGGACAAATAAAGAAATGTACGTAGCCATAGCCGTCTATCATTGTGGTATTCGTCGAATAATTAAAGATCTTGAATCTGGGGATGACATGTAAATTCGTCGCTTCTGATGACTGAAGGTCACGTGGTCTATGGATCGTTTACTCTTGGGACTGACTATGATTGGAGGATTTTCTAACCAATGACAGTCTTCTTCAACAAGGTGTGGTTGTGCAGTGCAAACTTACCCTGAATTTCTTCATCACGTGAAGTACATGTGACTAGCGCATTATTCTTCTAGATCAAACCGGTATATACACAATCATGTAGGATTGTTCATCGTGCTAGGTTTGGTCATATCTCCCCTGGCGATGAAAGGGGGGGGGGGGGGGGAGGGTTGCGATTTTCAAATTTTCGGCCAAAAAATAAATACAAAATTATTGCTCACTACCACTTTTCCCCAAGTCCCCAACAGGAACAATTCCTCTGTAGGGCTATGCATTATGGTTCAAGGTATGCCCACATAGAAGATTTTTTTTAATGTTGGGGGTTGGGGCAAAATGCAATAAATTATTGAAAATTTATTGCATTTTTTTTTTTTTTGTGTGGGGGCGTCGACGTACCCTAGCGC